TGTGACAAGATCTTCCTTTGGATACCAACCACTTTGACCTTGACCTTGACGTTTGACTTTTATTTAAAAAACTTTAACCTTCGCCATAACTTTTGAACAGTTGTATCTAGGTCTTTCAAATTTCACTGGTGTATTCCTCGAGACAAGACCTTTCTTTGGGTATCAACATTTTTTATCTTTTGGCCTGGATTTTGACTTGCATTTGAGAAACTTTAGCCTTCGCCATAAGCTGCCATAAGGGGGCATCAGTGTTTCACAAACACATCTTGTTTTTAATTTGATTTTCAAGTGTAAAATGTCTCAAGATATATAATTCTTCAAATAAAAAAAATTCAAAATCTTACAATTAAGTCCAAGTGCAACTTTTCTTTTACATTACAATAAGCTCACACCAGTGGAGCTACAGTCTCATCAGAGACTTTTGGTGAGTGCATGTATTAGTATTTTCACTTTTAGAAAGAAAAATTATTAAGTAGTGCAACAAAGTAGTATAATTTCATTTTGTATATATATACAGCTAGTTTGTATTCACTTGATACATTGTATGTGTTGTCACTTGCCATTAATGTATGTCACTAAATGCCTCCACAGCCCTTCATTGTCATACTGACATAGAACTCAAAACAATTGTCAATTAAAGTGAACTTTTCGAATGTCAGCTCTAGCATCATGACAACCACTTAGATGATGACTTCCTGGATGTTCAAAAAATAGATCAAATTCGTGATGTGTTAGATAAATGTATCAATTGTTTCTATTTATAGGAATTTGAAGATGCAACGGAAACAGTACCAATGTATGTTGATTTTTTTTTTTTTAATTTTTGGGATCTGATAGTAGTGTATTATGTTTGTGTTACAATTATTCTACAAAGTAAATAATTATTAATTTTTTGGTCATTTCATTAAATGTTTTATCTATCTCATTCTCGTTGCATCATTTCTCAGGCCTGATGATTGGACGCTATCCTCCATGATTGACCAGACAAGAGTGGCCTTGCATCTGTTTCTCAACAATAGATTCTCTGAGGCCAAAAATCGAATGGAACCTTTGTGAGAAAATTTCTGAAAAATGAAATGTATTCATATGAAATAGCTTAAGAGAGAATGACCCTCTGCTAAATAAAGATTTTTTTTCTGTATAATGATGGAAATTCTACTTGAGAAGAGAGTGTAGTGAAATAAAAGCAAATATAATTAAGAAATGAATTTAATTTTTGAAGATTCATGAGGACATGAACTACGAAGCTTCACGCCGGCATATTTCATGAAGCGCGTTAGCGCTTCATGATAAATATGCCGGCATGAAGCGTTGTAGTTCATGTACCTCATGAATTTTCAAAAATTAAATTTATTTCTTATATTTACATTATTTTCTGATGAGTTACCACAATTAAAAACCGTCATTTTTAAAGCAAAACAGTTTGCACTATAGTTTTGACGTCAAGTACGGTATTATGACGTAACAATGGAGATATTCATGCTCATCCACGGTAGTTCATGAGAAAATGAACAGTCTTCTAATTTGTAAAGAATCTTAAGGAAAAATATTTGGAAATGTAAATATTATACAATATTTTATACAAGTCAATATTCTTAAAAGATGAACATTTTATAAAGGAAAAACAGTGATATGTCAATTTCAGAGTTTTCTTCCTTCAAAGTCTGTCAGTCCTTAAAAGGGCTGCAGCTATACAGGAACATTTTATTTTATAATAGAATTAATGGAATAGATAGAAAATATTTAATTGTATGAGTGTTGTCAACCAATTCTCAAAATATCATTCACGTATGAATATATATTAATGACCAATAAAACATTTACTTTGTTTTTTAAAAAATAGAAACATTATAATTCTACATTAAATAACCCTTAATGACTTTTATAAGGAACAATAATTGGTTTGTAAGCCAATAACTATTTAAATTAAAGAAATATATAAAGTGCATTCTTATATGGTAAAAGTGTTTTAAAAAATCATAAAAAAAACTGTTGTCATTAAAGAAATATAAAAGCTGGAACAATTCTCATAAAATTAATTTTTTGTGATGAAAAGGCATCTGTTTGGTAAATTCTTTAGAAATTCCACCTACCAAATATTTTCTACTATATATGTTAACCTGTATTTGATGCAGATGTGCCACTATTTCTCATCTTTTTGTTATTATAGTGCTGATAGAAGTATGTACCATGCCCTGGGTTACAGTACCATTCTGTATATACAAGCTGTTATGACCTTTGATATGGTGAGTGTGATCATTCTTCAGCATAGTATTCATTGATAAATGTTTGCCATTTTATTTCAATAAATTGTACATTATTGGCTTTTTATAACGTTGTCAAAAATGCAACACAGATGTTCATTTTTTATAATTTTACATTTTCAGCAAGATATAGAACAAGCTATTCAAGCTCTAAAGAAAGCCATTGCTGTCTGTGATCGTTACAGACACAAGTTCTCCATGCTGGAAAGTCTGTCCAAGTCCAGATCGAGAGCTATTTATAATGATCTCACTGAAGGTAATATGCCATTCTTGTACAGAGAGGTATTTCAACCATGCAACATCAGTACAGAACTATGAATTTTGTTGTATTAATCTTTAAATAGTGAGTGTGTGAGTACTTAAGTTTGGAGATTTCATTGCAATCTAAGGATCTTTTGAATTTTGTATTTGATCCATAGATTTAATTTTTTTTTTTAATTTATTAAGGATTTTACCAAAATATTTAACCATCAATACAGCAACATCAGTGTTTCATTTGATGAAAATATGATTATCTCATAATTTATAACCCTAACTTTTTTCTTTCCTCAGAGGAAATCCATGCTGAACTGTGCTATGCTGAATGTCTACTCCTTCGAGCTTTGCTGTCATTTGTTCAAGATGAAAATTTATTGAGTTTTGTTAAAGGAGGACTGAAAATTAGAGAATGTTATAAAATTTATAAGTAAGTTAAACAAAGTTAAACAAAGTTTATAAAATTTGTAAGTAAGCTAAACAAAAGTTAATATTTTTCAGAAAAATTTACAAGTTGTATGGGTACATCATTTCCTGGCAATTTAAACATTGCATCTGTATATTACATGTATATTTGTATTTTTTCATGTTTTTAGAGAATGTAATAAAATGATGGAAAGACCCAAGTTCACGGAAGAGAAACAAAAGACACATTTTGCAACAGGTGTGAAGATGGGTGTTGGAACATTTAATCTAGTAAGTGTATACATTGTCAAACTATGTCAGTGCATGCAAGAATTACCTTTTAATGTGGTGAAAGTGCATGCAAGAACTTTTAACATGGTGAAAGTACCAATTAGAATTTTGACAAATAATAAAGGTATGACTATTATGTATCATTGACATTGTGATCTTACTATTTACAAATTATTATTCATTACATTATGAAAACTTCGACCAATTTAAAAAAATGAATTTGTTATGTAAAAAGGTAGGGGAAAGCTCAAAAAGTTTTTCAAACTTTTGTCAAATCTTATTTATGCAATTTCCACACAATAAATTACATTAAAACTATATGTATGCTCTATGTTTTTGTGTTCATACATTTTACATTGACTTCTATTTTCAGATGATCTCATTGTTACCTAGTAAAATTCTCAAGCTCCTTGAATTTGTTGGTTTCTCTGGAAACAAGGTTAGCATAAAGTTTAGAACCAGGTTCTTGGTTACCAACTAAGGAATTAAGGTCTTGATTAAATACTTTAGATTAGAAAATTTTTCAGATAAAGTATTAGTAAAATTGAAGCATTTGTAACTCTCCTCAGTGAGTATAGATTATGTAAATTCATAATGGTCCTTTACAGATGTATGGGTTGAAATGTCTATCTGAAGGCAGCTATGACCTTGCTAGTCTACGAGGCCCACTGTGTTCTATAATTATGATGGCATATCACACTGTTGTTTGCTATATCCTAGGTCAGTATCTTCTAGTTAAATATCCTGATCATTTACTATTTCATCAAAGGATCAGGATATATGTCAAGGTTTTTTGTTACTAATCTCAGCTGAAATTTCGTTGAATCTCAACTGAGATTACCTGGTAACTTGTGGTAAGTATTTGACATATAAACATTTGAGATACCAAAAATCAGCTATATTAGATACTAATTGTACATCCATGAATATGCACACATTCTTTTTCATCTGTTGCAATATACAAATGTTAAATTTGTTAGCTGTGTTATTCTTTAATCATTTATTGGAGTATGATAAACTAATCAAACTGAAAAAAGGCAGACTAAGTTTAGTACGTGTATTTAAGTTAAACTTGTCAAATTTTGAGGTTGTATATTCCCAAGTTCTTGCCTAGTGTGATAAAAACTCTTAGTCCATATCAGTTCAGTTGTTTCAAATATGTTTAATTTCGAATGTCTAATCCAGAAAATTTCTATGGAACTAGTGGTGTTAGGATTAGACAAGTTTTAATGTTCCATGTTTAATGTACATCAAAGAAAATTGGTTGGTAACATTAAAAAAAAATCTCATTTACAGGACTTGCAGATGGTGACATCAATTATGCTGCAGAATTGTTAAAACCCTGTCTGGAACAGTACCCCAAGGTGATAGAGACATTTTGAACCAAAACAGCAAAATTATTTACATCAATTCAGTTTTGATTGATAACAGATACAAATTTGATTTGATAGTAACCTAGAGTAGAATTCTAGTGGTGCTTATCCCTTGTCTCTGATAAGGTTTCATACATTATCACACATCAAAGAACACTGAGCAAAGATAACAAAATTTGCATCAAGATATAGTTTATGCAATTTTTTGTCGTTGTAAACAGGGTGCCCTGTTCCTGTTCTTTGCTGGGAGGATTGAGGAAGTGAGGGGGAACATTGATCAGGTAAGTATGATACTGTAAAAGCAGAAATATTCTTTGGGGATTTAATTTTGTTTATTTTGTTGTTAACAATTATCAACGAAATTAAATCCCACACTAAATTTTTATATGACTATATACAGAATAGGGTTACTTTCGAAACAACAAAATTTAATGCCCCGGAAAGCTTCCTAGATGACAAAACAACGAAATTGTATCCCCACGAAAATTTGTTCTTCTACAGTACATATTTTGAAGCAATTACTGTCTACATACCAAGAACTAAAACATACCAAGTTCTGTTCAAGTACCTAAAGAGTATTTACATCTCATGACAAAAAGATAATTCAAAAAACATCAAAATTTATGTAGGAATATGCTCAATTGTGATATTTCACTTTTTCTGGAATTTAGATACAAATGCTTACTTGTAGGCCATTGTAAAATTTGAGGAATCCATAGAATGCCAACAGGAATGGAGACAGTTTCACCATTTAGGCTACTGGGAACTTATGTGGTGTCACTGGTGTGTATGATTATTAAAAAGTCATATTTATTCATAAAATCTATATTTAATAACAAAAGCTGGAGTAAAACTTGAAAAAAAATTGATCATGTGATTCATTTTTAAAACAGCTTCAAAGGAGACTGGCTGATGGCGATGAAATATGCAGAAAAATTGTGTAAAGAGAGTCGGTGGAGTAAGGCTACGTATACATACCAGAAGGCATCATTCCTCCTGATGTGTGAAGACCAGACAGAGGAAACAAAGGAGCACATTAAATTACTATTCAAGTAAATATCCTGTTAGAGTACATGTAGTTATGTTACTGGATTTCATTTGTACTGGATAAGGCAAGACATGACTGTATTTATCTGAATGGATGGAACGGCATTGATGGGAGATCTAAAATCATCAGTTAGATTTTAAGGCTTGAAAAACTGGATTGGTCTTTTCTTTCTAGAGATGTTCCAAGATTAAAGCAGAGAATTGCTGGTAAATCTATACCAATAGAAAAATTTTCTGTCCACAAAGTCAAAAGAATCCTTGAACACAAAGCTGACATTGTTTTACCGGCTCTGGTAAGAACTGTCAAAGCAAACATTTTCACAAAATTACCAAGAACTTGTATTAAATGCATTGAAATTTCACTGTTACTGTAATGGTCTTGTTAACATTTTAGGAACTTGTTTATGTATGGAATGGATTCAGTATCTTAGGAAAGCGAGAAGAACTGGTAGATCCTGTATTGACTATTGTAGAGAGTACAATAAATGACATCCTAAAGGGCTCTGGTAAGTTTTATCAATATATGAATCAGTAATATGGTGTTAACATCTGCCTAACATGTTACAAAAAGGGATGGTTTTAAAAGTTATTGTATCTACTGTTACATAAAATGTGTAAAAAAAAAATTAAGGGAGTAATTGACTTGAAATTTGTATTAGGTCCCTACATGAAAATGTGGGTGCCCGAAAGTAATCACCATCCATCTTTCTATCCATTGTTATATGCTAGGTGGAGGATAATTAAAGGAAAACACCAGATTTTCAAAAGTGGGTTAATTAATATAGTAGTCAAAGAACATGAGTAACAAATTGATGACATACATGTATAATAACTGAAGTACATGTACTTTTCAAGACACTGACTTCGAAGATTTTGATGTTTTAAAGAATAAATGTATTTGTATGAGCTCTGTATGACATTAGATTTATGATTTGTTTTAATCTTACAGAAACAGATCCATTTTATCATGACAACTATTCCTTGGTCATTCTTCTGAAAGGAGCATGTTTGAAATGTAAGGGTCAATACATGCAGGCAGAACAATGCTTCAAAGAAGTCCTACAAAGGTAACTAAGAGGCTTTATAACAAATCAGAGGACAAAATAAGGTGTAGTACCAGACATAAAGATACTGAAATTTGAAAATTGTGTTTTCTTTCTTAGTAAATATTCAGCATTTGATTTAAGGGAAATGTTATCTGCATTTTGATTTGGAACCCAGAATGTCAGATTGACAATTTCAGTAATCAAAGCAAATGTTCTGGCACATGACATAGTGCTCACCTGTATTTGTATATGGGCTGTACCTAATGTAATATGCCTTAAGTCATCTCTTGGTCATTCTTTCTTCGTTATTCTTCTCCACTCATTTTCTTCTGGTGCTCTGTCATATTGCAGGGAAAAGCTGATAAAACATGACACATACTTGGTACCATACACTACAGTAGAGCTGGCTCTGCTGTACCTGAAACTGGATGATAAGACACAGGCTCTGCATTACCTAGATCAGGCAAAGTAAGATTTTCTCTTTCATCTTCTTTTTTTTGTTCCTTGAACAAATAAGGGTATATAACCATAACCCAATACAAAATATGGCATATAGAAGGCAGAAGCCACTGTGTAATGAATGTTTTGTAAAGTTAACAAATATTTCAATTTTTTTCTAGGAAAAATTACAAAGGTTATTTATTGGAGTCCAGACTACACTTTAGAATCCATGCTGTCAGGCTTCAACTGAATGGTTCCAGTAATGGGAGTCTGCCAGTAGAAAATGACTTGGACTCCGATCTAGTTCTAAATGAAGAATCAAATATCACTGATGTCCCAAATGATGAGGACGCTCCTTCAGTGTCTACAAAGCTATAACAGGGATAGCTGTCTGTTAGATAGTATTATTGATTGACTAGTCTCAGTTTGAACAGTGACAGTTCTAATTACTCATGTTTAGTGTTCATTGAATTTGTCATAATTAAAGTCTATTGCATTTTTAATTTTAAAACCATTCCCAAAAGTAACTCCAAAATTAAAAACTGTGATACTTTTGTCCTTAGAGACACATTCCACTATAACCTCCCTGTTTTTGACAATGTGTTAAAGCAGAAATGAGGTTTTTTGATCGAAGTTTGTTCAGCTGTCATCATTAGAACTCCAGTTATTTACGTGAACTTTTATGAAATCATCCCTAATGAAGACATTGTTTGGGACCAATGCTAAATGTACATAGTAAAAAGAAAGAAAAACATTCCATACTTCTATCACTCAAATATTGTTTCTTTAATTCCAAAACTAACTTTGTAAAAGGAAGAAAGTAAAAAGGTAAAATTTTTAAATTTTTGTGTCCAACAAGCCATAGGTTTTTATGTCCATTCTATTTCACAAACCTTTGGATAAATGGATACAACTTTGGACTTGTGACAATGATATCTTTTAAATCTATTTCTTATCTCTCTGCCCAAAGAATTGGAATTGTGTTGCCTTGATAAAGTGAGCATAGTGGTCCTTAAAGATAATTTATTCTGTATTTAAGCTTGCTGGTACAAACTTTTTTTTAGTCTATAACTCTATATTGATGCTTTGTTTCTGTGTTTTAATATTATTTTCAGGGTTTTTTGTTTTGTATCTATTTAAAGTTAAGTTCCATTTAAGATTTTTTTTAATGAAGGTTTACTATATTGTAGGTACAATATGTAGTGTTTGAAGGATCTCTGTAGCTCTAGCCTTTTTGGATTATTTTTTATACAGTATGTATAACCTACAAATGCTATTAAATTTTTTATGAACTAGCAAGGATTTCAAACAGTTTTATACAGAAAATTTATAATGTGTAAAACTCATGGCAAATGAAACCGAAAAAGATTTATATGATTTTGACAAATAAATAAATGCACTAAATTATTTTCTGCCTGATGTATAAGTATTGTTCTTATTTTCCACGTGAAATGTAAAATAACCTGCATTATAGAGGGGTATTCAATTGAATTATTCAGATTATCATTATTATCCTGTCGTAAAAAGTTCCTGCATGTGTACACATTTAATGTAATGTACAATTGTATTTTCTTAACATTTTATTTTGTTGTTTCCATGGCAAGACAGCACTTGGAAGTATAACTCTTTAACTGAAATTACTCATTAAAATGATAGTGCTAGGGTAAGAGAATACTTTACAAAAAACAAGAAAGAAAGAGTACATGAAAATGACAAGGCAAATAATCAAAGCTGTTTCCAGTATTAATTGAATAGTTGAAACTTGAAAAGAAATCAATATCTGTTCTCATGTAGTTATATTTATGTAATGTTAATAAAATAAGCATATATATGATGTATTCATTTTTTTTTCATTTGTTGCTGCTATATTTATTTATTCAAGACATTCATTAAGCTAGAGATAATCAGACTGCTGATAGCATTTTATAATATTTTTCAATTATAATGTTTACCTTAAAACTGGATTTCTTATTTTTTAGCTGTATTTGTCCTGAAAATTCATAAGAGTTTTTGCATTGGTAAGGTGTCTGGTGTTTGTTTGTAGACAATTTTTCTAAGCTTAATTCCCACCTACAGTTCTGGTCCCATTTCAATGAAATTTGGCACACAAATAGACTACATGAAGACACATAATGGTATAAGTATCAGTAATTTCAAAGAATTATGTTGCTATATTAAGTTTGCTATATTGGTTAATACAATAATTCTGCAAATTCTTTTAAAATGCTAGTCTTCCTACAGTTTTGGTCTGATTTCATTGTCAGTGATACAAAAGTAGAATACATCAAAATCAGAGTTCATACAATTATGATCAATAGTTTTGGAATTGTTTACCAAAAATAAAATAATCTTTGAAATTGTTTCAAATTACTGTTCCTTCTACAGTTGGTCTGATTTCAGTAAAAACTGTAAAACATACAGTTACGCTACATCCAAAGCACAGAATTTTTTAATTTATTGAAAGAATGTCAATACTTGGAATATAGTCTGTGGAATTCCTTTAAAATGCTACTCTATTATAAATTCAAACTAGTAGAGCTACATACTCATCTGAGACATAGGGTTCTTTGTAGTAAATCATCAGTCAATTGAAAAATTATTAAAGACTTTTTTTTAAGTTTAATATGTTGTTATACTTTTCAAGTTCATGAATGATTATGTTCAAAGTAACTTAACTTACAAGGGGTTACATCCCTTGTATATTGTAAATCCACTGGAAGTATTTGACATAACCTAAACCAGTGGTTAAATTCCTAACTTTATATTTTGGGGAATAATTGACTGCATAAAACTTGTGTATGTCTGAGTCTTTCATATAAAAAAATCTGTTTCAAGAAATCTGTGGTAAAAAAAATCTGTAGCTGGGCTTTGAATGTCATTGCAATTTGACTTGACATTAGTTTTCATTACATCTGCCCCAGCATGTTGAGACGTGTATACTAGTATTGGTTTTGGCAATATGGTTGTCTTATATGAAAGGGAAATTATTGGAAAATAAAGTGCATGGCCACAGCACAATACTTTTGTAAGATATATTGTTTATTTATCAAAAGCAGATGAGTGTGTATGGGACAAATCATGTCAACCTTGGTACAAAGATTTCAATGATTTCTCTATTTTTAATGTTTGATGTGCATCTCCTATATATATACTGTAGTTATTAATTGGAACAAACAGTAAATCATAACTTGTCATAACAAAAATGCCCATCTAGAAACATCAGAGGTGGGGTTAGGTGCCATGCAGGAGTAAGCATCCCCTGTCAACCAGTCACACCCACCATGTGCAGGTCATGATTAGGCAAATACAAAAATCTGTAGACAATCAAGTGTGAAAATAATGGCCTAAGAATTTGCATGAAAGACTTCAATCAACATTTGACTTATAGATAGATTGTATTTGCTAACAAGGTCATTGTATCGACCATAGAATTTATGAAGTGTTGACTTCAAACAGGACTGTTGATATCCTTGTGACATCAACTTATTTGTCAATAACTTGCCTCGTTTTAGAAATTTTTCACATTCTCTTGCGTATCAAATCAACTGGGAGACATAAACTCCATATGCAGGCGATAATGGTATTAATATTGCTACATAAATAAAGGAAGTTGGCATTAGAAAAATTGAAGTCATCATGATTATCATAAAGTTTTGTTGTTAGGTTGCTTTTAATGTCTTTATTCTATTAAAATATCCAAGTATGACACAGATGCTTCAGACTTTTCTATTTTGAGTTCAAAGGGATATATCAAATCAATGTAGGAATGAAAATGAATTTTGTTAACTTAATTGATAAAACATTGATATATCTAAAAGTTGAATTGAAGGCCACTGCACAAGACTTCTTCTTCTGATGAAGAAGTTTTTGAATTAATTCTGCTTCATATGAATACTAATGTAGGTCTGCATCCATCTTTCTTCTAGTCTCTGACTAGTAGGGCTAAAAATGACAATGAAACATTTTATTTTCCATACATGTATTTGTGATGTAAAATTCAATACCATTGGATTTACCTTGTCCTATTAAAAAATATTTTAAAAAAGTGTATTCAATCAAATTACAAGGAAAATACATATTCTATTGCAAAGCTGGGGAATAACAATTTATAAACTAATCAAAAAAGCCTGGGAAAAAATGTTTGAAATCCCTTTACATGAAAAGAAAAAAAAGAGAGATTTAGTGGAGCTTTGGAGTTTCCATTAAGTATTAAAGTAAAAATTCAAACAAAAATATATTTTGCAAAATAACAAAATACAGAAAGAATATGGATATAAAAATGGCAAGAGATTTAATAATACAAAAAGTAATGGTCATCTTCGTTAATAATAACCAACATCAGGTATTCACTAAAAGATAAAAGCAAAAATAAGAAAGTGAAATAAGTGATTTGAAGTAAAAAGTATCCAAATCAATATTAGAGATTCTCACAGAATAATAACAATAAATACTGTGAAGTATTCTATTAGAGTGGAATATTGTGACATCTTAAATGAAAAATTGTTTTAGTCTTTGTTCAGTAGATAGTACTATATGAATTATAAAGTGATTCTTTGGAATCATGTGAATTCTTGCAAGCTTATTCATGTCACTTGATGGAAAATTTTGCAGAACTAATATTTACAATAGTTAACTAGCTTATATAGGAAACATATGTTCTTTAATTGTGTATAAATATATAATACTGCTCTGGAAATTCACCCTCAAAGGCAACAACTAGTGATCCATGGGCCATAACACTCACCTGAGTCACAAATAAATATGTAGATGAAACCCCTTATTGTAACTACCTGTATTAACTTACAGAACATGGTTCTAAGATTTAATTTATAGTATAACGAGGCTTGAAGATGAGAAATTGAATCTTTTTACGTTCTTGAGAAATAAATACATTTCTATGTAAAACTATGAATCTCTATTTTAACCCTTGGGACCTGGATCTGAATGGAGTTGATTCTACACTATATGGAGATTTTTCCTGTATATCTTTGTAAAATTTAGATTTCTTATTGTGGATCCAATCTAGCTACAGAATCCAAAAGAGGTTAAAAATGTATCCAAAGACAGATGAAAGGACTGACAATGGACAAATTTTAATCAAAAAAGTTCAGTTAGCCTAAAAACATTATGACTAGTGTTCCTTGGTTTTATAGGCATATACACATACTCATGACAAGTATAAGATTCATATGACTACAATCAAACATCAGTAAGTATATGTCTATGATTTCCTCTTTTGGATTTGAAACAGACTTCCACTTTCGTAACAGTGTCAGAAATCACTTTATCCCAAGATTTACGGTTTTTACTGTAAACATTGAGATAAATTCCCAAAACAACCAGTAATCCAGACCAGACATACCTATAAAATAAGAAAGAACATATCACATTGCATTCCTAAAAATCAATGTCAGGGATACAAGTGTTCATGGCACTATCTTTCAAATAAAGATGCAATTTTGATGATAACAGAATGCATCTCCTGATCGACTTAAAAAGTATAGAATACATACAATGTACTCACCAAATGTAAGTGTATGTGAGTATTGGTTCGTTATTTTCTTTATGAAATCAAAGAAATTTTATTTTACACTTACTGGAGTGTGAATGGTTTGGAGAAGAAAAGAAAGGATAAAATAATTGTTACAGCTTTCCTGCATGTCGTCACTGCAAAACAAAAATCCTTTCTTAAAACCGCCTCAGAGAACAGTCACATTATCATTGGTTTTCTGGAATTTGCAAATTTTCAATTTCCATAATTTTTATAAAAATGTTTCTTCTCCCAAAAATAAATATTGGTTGTCAACGTTCAATTTGTTTAACATCTGAGATAGAGTTTTTGACACAGATTAGTATAACTTACACCATTTTATTTACAATATAAACATAAATGACTTGATGGCAAGATGTCACACACAAAATCAATTAACAAATAAATAAGAAACAGAACACACCTGTTACTGCAATTAATGCCCCAAAGGTTTTAACCAGTGTCAGAACAATGGCCAATCCTACATATCCAGAAATAGAGAACAAAAATCCATAACCATAGGTCTGTACAGGATGCTGAAATAAAACATGCATGTTATAATGTGTACATATTGATGCTACAATTACAGATCAGTAGCAGATTACATACAAGTCACTAGGGTATTGGAGAAAATTATTCTACATTATTTTGTGTCAAAAAAGCTTACCTGTTTGCAAAACTCAAAGGCTGGAAAGAAATTTCCAGATAGTAGTAAACCAACTAAAATGTAGAAAAATCCTAATCCATATGAGTAGAAGACCTGTAAAATTGAAAAACAGTACAGTACGTGTAGTTAAGGGATGGGTGGCTTAGATTTTCTATCAGAAAGATTGAACTTTTCCAAGAAATTACAGCTTACTATTTCTGTGTTTGAGGCTTCATACTGCTTCATAGCTTTCTCCTGCACATTGCCTATTGCTCCATCAGCACATAAAGCCAGAGAGATCAAGATAACACCTAAAATTTGAGAAGGAGACATTTTACAATATCAGTTATTATACACCATAGTAAAGTTACATAAAATTTCCTAAAACTCCATTTCAGTTCTTCCAAATAATATGGTCACATTCAAAAGAACTAAGAACAGAATTGAGTCTTTACCTATCAGATTTAATCAAATATATGTACCTGGTACCTACCATAAGTATTAAAGTTAGGAGATACACTACTGTCTGCCAGAGTGAATAATATCAGTCCCACTATCATACACATCATAGCACTGACATCTATACAGTTGTACCGCCTCCCTAGATGTGAGAAAAAATTAACAAGTATAGAACCCAGCCACTGCAGATGTACTTTTTTCAGCATGTGATAAATTTATGATATGTACATGGTCACCATTTTTCTATGGAAATGGGTCACAGCATACTTTAAAAGTGCACTTAAGACATACAATGGTAATCAAAAAAATCCACGTAATTTTCTATACCCGTGGATTGAAGAGAAATTGTGATTCCGCAGAATTACGATAATGTGGAAAAAAGTAAGTCTACAGTATTAAAAGGTCACTTTCAATACCCAAGGCATTATTAAAATGGTTTTAACCAGCTTAATTTTGCTTTGTAGAATTTATCTTAAAAGTACTGATGAATCTTATATCATGGACCATTTTATTTACCCGGTACATGTGTTGCTTACCCTGAATAAGAATGCTGCCCACCATAACTGGGATGAGCTTACAACACTTGAAAATCACTTGAGTTGGATAATTCAAATATCCCACAGAGGTATTGGAAAGACCCATGGTGGCTACTGTCAGAAAGGCCAGCAGTGCATACATTTTCATAGGAATTCTGGAATTAAAGTATTTATCATAAAATCCAGAAATAAGTGGTACAATTTGTTCAAACATTTTGTTTTCTATGGAAAGACACATTACTAATGAAGAAATGCAAAATTCTCTTTTATAGTAAGGGTCATACTTCCTTGTGAAATTGTTCCGCACTTGCATTTCAAGAAGTCCAAAAACCAAGTAACAGAGAAATTGTACAAGTGTCAGGTACCAACCGAATGGACGGAACTCCTTAAGTCTAAATATTAGCTCCTGTTGTTAGAAGAAAAGGTGAGTGAAAACTCTCATAAAAATTGTCTATTCTTTCAAACTTGCGAGAACAGTTAAAATTGATTTTAATGGTAGTATGGATATATACTAGTAGTATGTACCATAATATTTATATTGGTGGAAACAAGCACAGAAAGTTCTATAAACTGAATGTGTATGAATAAAGAGAAAATTTGATTCAGATGAAAAGTTTAAGACAACATTCTATCTATACACATCAATACCATGGATAAAGTATGGTATCAATGAAGAAAGTTTTACAAACAAGGCCCATAGGCCTTAACAATCACTTGAGTATATTGATTTTATCAACACATGATGGTGCGTCTTTTTCCTACAAGGAACCACAAGGAACCCCAGGGATACCACAAGGTACCCCAGGGACACCATGTAAAACCTTAATAATTCTAAATATGGTTTATATGCACTTGTAAATTAGAAAATTGTTTTGGAGGGCAAATTGACACTTTAATTGTCTTAAACAGAGCTATTAAACCAAGGTAAAAATCTAAAAGTATTATACTTAATCTAAATTATGCATGTATAGTTCAGAGGAACTGTTATTGTATTTTTTATGATGTAAAAAAAAGTTAATGGTTAATTGTGTATTTCAACATAAAAACAAAAAGTTGATACCCAAGAAGAGCCCTAATGACACTCCCTGTACCAAAAGGATATTAAGCCAATTAAGGAACCCAAAGAATATCCAAATGACACACAATTCAATTTGTAAAAAATCTAAAGAAGGTTTAAATGCATTTGTTAATTACAATTCAGAATTGATAACTGTTTATTGTATATTTCTATTCAAAACAAAAAGAATACAAAGAACCATCAACATATTAAGTCTTGAGATTCCATCAGGTTAAGTCCAAAGACTATTTCCACCTAATAGGCTATGTAGCTATTAATAGCTACCTAGGTATTTAAACCTACTTGAGGTATATAGCTACTTCTACCTACTATTACCTAGCTGTCTTTAAAAATAGAAATAAATGATAATTAAGGTGCATCTTTAAAACAATTCAGACTTGTTGTTTTTTATAATGTTTTGAACTTGCACAACAACATTCAGGGTGTAAATTTGCAAACTTTATGAGGGTGGATAATGAAGAGGAAATGCATGAAAAATCAACCCATAAACCTTTACTTAGAATGCATGAAGGTAAGTTTTAAAATTAATAAAGAATTGTAAAAAATTTTAGGCTTCTTGCCATGTAGCTTTGATCCTTACCTCCGAGAAAATGGAACTGGGTGTAGCTATGGATGCAAAATTGATAATTAAGAAAGTAAATATTTTTTAGCCAAAATTTGTGTTGCATTCATCATCAGTATGAGTATATAAGAAATTTAGTATTCGCCATATTGCACCATTCCTGCGTTTGGCCACGAATTGCAAGTAAAGAAAAAAAGTAGGTAAAAAACGCTACCATAAGTAGGTTTAAATACCTAGGTAGCTACTGTATAGAGGGTTAAGTTCACGGGTTGTAATTTTCACGTTTTTCTCTCCTCTGGCACGATCGCGGTTTGTTGAATTCACGGAATTGGTATATAATAAGTTACCTCCCTTGTCTTTATATGTTTAATCCATACCAAGCTAGAACGACATTAATCAGCGTCAGGCCCGTAGGAAGCAATTTCAGTTTGGGGGGGGGCACAGCCAAACATTTTCAGTGGGGGGCACTATCAACTACCAAAATTCCTTGACAAGCAAAAAAAAAAAAGGTCATCAGCCGTTTTTATTGAGGGGGCACAAGCATATAGTAGCTAAGTTTTCTATAGTATTCTATATATTGGCAAAATTATTGGGGGGGGGGGGGGCATGCCCCCCCTCCCCCCACCCACCCCCCCGGTTCCTACGGCCATGAGTGTCATGTATTCACTTCACCAACCGCAGGGTATGTTTATATAAAATAGTTAGATTTAATAATTAATTGATGACTATTTAAAACAAGTGCAGTTAATAAAAGTTCTACTATCTTTCCTATATGCTATTACATGAGTGCTTGTACACCCTAATATCTTACCGAAGGTATAATACATCGCGGCGAAAAAACTACTGGATGGTAAAAAATGTGTTAATGTAAGTCGACGAAATAATATAATTCCACATCTTCAGCAAGTTCGATAGTTATTTGAATGATTTATAAAAACCAAAATGTCGATACAAACTAATACGCATGATAATGCAGGTAACAAATACACGTGGTAACATAGTTACGCAAGGATAATCAAAACCCTTGACCCACGTCTTTTGATAGAAGGAACATGTAACATTGGTTATTAAAACAGTTTTTTTTATCTGCTGATCTAAGTTAAAGTAAAGCGTGATAATTAAAACAACTGAATAACAAGTACGACTCGTAATTACTGAAATGACCATGTACTGCACGTTTATATACAGTATTTCTAGCTATGAGATAGAAATAGTCCTTGAACTGGATCTGTCCATATCTATCTTCAAAATATGAGGACTTACTTGCAAATATCCATATATAAGATATGATGCAAAAACAGCTGTAGATAGCAACAAAAACTGTGATGTCCTTCCAAAGTCAGAAATATCCACAAACCATAACTTTACAGATCTCTCAGGATCTCTCCTCTCTTCTGCAACTTCAACATTTACCACACATGCTGCATCGACAGCGTTTTTCTGGCGCAGTGTGTCACTCATAGACATGTATCTTGACATATTTAATGCTTCTTAGGTGTAAACATTGTGTACAAATCTGGATATTATTGATTAATTGATTACTTAAGTAAATCGGTTTTACACCCACTCCTTCCAAGGCATGTTACCGGTTTTGTTGACGTGTCGGTGTACAGCAATCGTTCCAAGACAAATTCGTTATTAAAATCTAAACGTCACTGAAACTCATGCGAACAAAATTTTATTTGAAAATTGATTGATCAAATATATTCAAATAGCTCTATAGGCCTATAAGAAACATATGCGCTTGAAAAATGAGAGGACTTTGAAATGTACGACTAAGTTAGTGTACTGTTTACTTTTTATTGAAAATATGGCGGCCTCCACGAAGTTTGTGTTCGGGAATGCCAGAGATGTCTTTTGCGTTCGTATTTGTACTTTTTATTGATTTATGTTATTTTCTTATCATTTTACATCTAAATAAAGGTACCAAGCTAAATTCGATTGCATTGCAACATGGTGTGATTATGTTTAGTCGTGGCGGCGTCAACATCCCTCTGCGTATATTATCTCTTAACGATCAGGTTCAGTACAATCTCTTGATTTAGCTATATAGTTTGAAATAACGATATAGCTTTAATATGTTGACGATGCGACCGTTAGGGTGAGCGCAGATACCTATATTCAGTTTTAATTTAGATCGGGCTCTTCAAACCGCACGAGAGTTATAGTACGTCTAGACTCTGACGTCACATGACGTCGCTTGTAATTAGCATTACCAAAACAAAGTCTGAACAGTGCTTATTTTAATAAAGAAGGTTTTATCTACTATTTATTTGCTATATATCCATCAAATCAACGTGGGTTTATATTTTTCTTGGAACTTCTTGTTACCGCGAGAACGTTGTTTGCAGCGAGATGCAATTTGCAAAGCATTATTGGAACACAGGTAACTGCGAAAAAAAATTCATTTGGAGCAATGTGCAAAGTCCGAATTTTATCTTTGTCCAGGCGTTGCTTTAAGAGCTCACAATGACGAGCGGTGCTTTGCGCTGCTCACTGCACTCAATATTAAGCTATTCAAAATAGCTTGATAAAGCTACTTATATGAAGTTTTTTACAAAAATGTTTTTTGTAAGAAAAAGACAAAAAGTCGCAAGTATTTGACTATTCATGTATGTAGTATGGGCTATCAAAAAAGCAACCCAAATCAAAGATAGTTTTAACATAGCAGCAGGGTTCTCCACAAGGGGTTTAACCATGGCGGCCCGCCATGGTTAAATTTATGTGCGCCATGGTTAAATGAGCTGCGCCATGATTAAAATCGGCGGCCGCCATGATTAAATTTTTATTCAATTTCAGTATTGATACCTACTTTTTTAATGAAAAGTAGTTAATTGTGTTTATACTACGACTGCCATGCACCTCACATGCCTTGAGGGGAAGCGTCCGACTGGGCTAAACGGTTACCAGCTAAACAAACATGGTCGTTGATCGGCGACTATGCTGTGAAGTGTGACAATGGAGAGTCAATCAGCTGATGATCAATATCTTGAGAGTTAATTATCCTATACACATGTAATTTCGGGGAATTCCAACGTGTTCACTATACGATAACAGATTTACAAAAGATGACATAACGAGGAGTAACAACATGATAATCGACATGCATCCGATTCAAGTTTCTGTGCCCAGAAAAAAATTAACCCTTTCAAAATTTCCTATTCTTTGTATTTAATCAATTCCTCATGCTTTGTTTTTAAGTATTGATTATCTTTCTGATAAAATGTACATAAGAGCCAATCGTCGTCTTAGTTTTAGAGTTACCTCCCGTTTTAGGAAACGTCGCATAGCACTATTTTTAGCACTGGGGCATGTGGAGAAGTAAACAATGGAGGAAAGTCAGCAAAAAATGCAATATGTAAAAAAAAAAAAAAAAAAAAAAACAGAATAGAGAAAGTAAAATTACAGTTATGTCAAATATATGCCCCTGGTTATATTAATTTACTTTTACCATGCATGCCATTGGTTAGTTTTCTTGCAGTTAAAAAGCTTAGACATAGGCAGGATGTCGGTGTTCATTCGTCTGTTTGTGTGTCTGTAACTATTTTTTTTTTTCAAAATACTTCCCATTTATCAGTTTTAGTTATATTTAAATAAAAGTTTCATACAACAGACATCAATTCTCTATATCAGTTTTTGAATAATGTTGCCATGGTCACTCTATCACTGAAATATTTTTTTTAAATTCCTTCAAAATGTTCCTATAGTTTTCACTTTTGGGCCAATTTTGATACACATTTTTAAAGTAACATACGTAATCTTTTTTATTTATTTTTTTTTTAGCTTTAAAAATTATTGGTTATTTCAACTTTTTGTGTTGCAGTGGTTATAAGTTTTGTGAAACCAATCATTGATTAATGAAGGTTAGGAAGTCTAACACACATTCGTGTTTTCAGTCACATTTTGCCTTCGCACAGCTTCCTCCATGGTTAAATTTTCAAATGTGGAGAACCCTGTAGCAGCTTTTGAATACTTTTAAACAAAAGATGAATTTCCATTGTTTGGATAACTGTATACAACCTTGTGTGCATTCAGGCGTGTATAAGTATGATTACTTCACATTGTGCTGAATTATTACCAATCAATTATCTTGTTGACCGTCAAAAATCATTGCTTTATATAGCCCCAAAACTTAAAAACCTTTAAGTACAAAGTCTCTCAAGGAGACGCAATTTGATGAGCAATTTTTATATGCATTGTTAAGGTTGAAAACTATCACTGCACCTATGTGCGACTTTTTGTACATGCTGAAGAAATAACACATTTAAGAAAAAGTGAGATAAAATAGCTAAATCAAGCTATTCTGATTAGCTTAATGAAGCTATATAGCTAAATCAAGAGATTGCACTGGACCTGACGATAGACAGTCGAACACTCGTAAAGTTATAGGCGAGGAGAATGTCATACTCTGTGCCTTCCAACTGAATCAATGTGGGTTCTCATCCATGTGCAGTAGAAGTTTTGGTACTACTTTTTGTCTAAAGTCTGAAGTTGCCTTTTTGTAATTTATTAACTCATTTGGAAAACTGATTCCAAGTTCAAAGTTCAGCTGGTGAAAGAGGATATTGAAAGATTTTTAGTTTTCATTTATGTCCTCATTCATAAAAGGAATCCTCTACTACCGGTACTATTTGATATTATGTTATATTGTAAACTCTTAGGTAATATGTTAAAAAAAGAACTGAAGGAACCATTTATCCAACTTGTTTTTTTTTTCAGCAAAGACTGCACATGTATTCTCTCATATAATACTTTTGAAAGTGAAAAAAATGCATCTCGATTACTTTTACATGTGTTTTTATTTACTTATTTTCTTTTCAGAAGAAACTTAATTCTTGGCAAGACAGTCAGGATTGGAAAGAAATATTTCAGTCAGTTGCTGGAAGGTAAGATGATGTCATCTGCATTACCTATTAGACATGAAGTACCAATAGAATACATTACGTATGTAATTATAAATGAATGAAATCACAGCTGTTGAGTTTCTTAGTATGGTTTTGTAGTGACTCAGAGAAGAAACTTGCTGTTGATCAGGCTTTGCGTGATGTCATCAAAGATGCTGTTGTAAGTGCACATAATTTCAATTTTGTTGTATTAATTGAGTACTAAGCTTATACATTCCTTTTAACATTATTAACTTGAACAGACCTCTTTTAATTTTTTTCCTATTTTAATTCATGAAAAAATAAATGAACAACTTGTTTATGGAACTGTAGGAGAAGACTGATGATTGTGAGGTATACAAAGAAGTGATAGAACATTCCATAGAACTGGCAAATGAAGGTAATACGGTAATTGCTTTAAATAATCAGTATTTTTAAAATTATAAACATCCACATTTAGCCCATTTTTGAGCTTCTTGATGAATGCACAATAAAATGAATACTGTAAAAATATTTTTTTCCATGTGGTATTTATTTACACTATGTATGCAGTCACAATTTTCTGGGGAAATTTTCCCGGCATACTTTTTTAAAGTACATTCAAGGCATATAATGGCAATCTAAGAAATCTGGATAATTTTTTACCCTCAGATTGAGCAGAAATTTTGATTCCGCAAAATTATGACCCCATGGAAAATGTACATTTATAGTACATTTATTAATGGAATGGTTTTGTAAGTACAGTCAAACCTTGTTATTGATAACTCAGTGGGACTTAGAAAAAACTCCAAGATATCCAAGGATTCCAGATACCCAGGGTAAAGCACTTAAAGAATAAGTGATTGTGACTTCCAAATCATTTCGACATATCCATGGCATTCAGATATCAGTGTTCGAGATACCAAAGTTCTACTGTAGATACATTAGCCATATAACCTGAAGAACATGTCATTTTATTTTGAATTCATTCCAGTCAAGATTGCCAAAATTATGACATAGGCATGATTTCACTATCTCAATACCACTGACCTTGACCTGTAAGATATAAACTTGATGAACAATGCGTTTCAATTTTGAATTTATTCTTGTCAAGCATTCAAGAGTTATGGCCCATAACATAATCTTATAAGACAGAGAGACAAATGTGTCAAGTAAGAAAAACAAAACCTGATATTCTTCTTAAAAAATCAATTCAGATCACAAAATTATTTTCCCAACAGCTAGGTACAGCTATGCATATGAAAAAGAATGAATGTTTGAATATTACGTCTTTCCTGAAAACATTTTGACATTCTCTGGTCATTTTTGTAATTACTGTACAATGGGTATTTTAGTGACTGGCAAGTTAGCAATTTTATCCTAAAATTTGGCATTTATTGTTAGCGTAATTAATTTGTAGTGATTTTAGAGTAACTCTATTTATTGTCTTTGACAATTTGTGTCATTGAATTATTAGTGACATTTAACTTAAGTGTTGCCAAGACCATGGCTAAAAATGCCAAATTTAGATGGTCACTAAAAATTCCCATTGTACAGTAGTGTTTATAACAGACCATGTACATGTATGTTAGTTTTAGTATAGAACAGTGTATGGGGTTCAGTACAATTTCTTTCTGTACAGATGTGTGCTCGGTGATCATGCCATTTGTACTTCTGTCTGATGTTTTTGATCTCATTCCACTAA